GTATCAAAGGAAATAAGGATTTCGTAAAACAGATTTATGAGTGGAAGGCATAATCAATTGTATACTAAATTGATAATTGTTGTCCAGAGTATGTTTATATCAAGAATATGTCCAGAATATGTTTTATAGTTTGTGTTAGTTATATAATAAGTTTATGTCCAGAATATGTTTTAGATCAAGGATTTTGTAGAACTGTTTTATAAGTGAAAGGTACCTTTTATATTTTTATGATTTCTACAATACTTATGTTTTTATATGTATGTTATATTCTTTTTTAATGTTTTAGTTGGCTGAAGAGGGGCTTAAGAGCCCGAAACGTGTAAAATTTTCACACGTATCAACTAAATAAAGATGAAAAAACCCACCAAGTGTCTTAATTTATAGCACTTTATTGTGTTAGAAGCATAAACCATGTTAACTGTTACTTCTGTGGTTGTATAAAGAAGATTAAAAGATAGACTGGAAAATGTTATATTTTTGTAAATTGTCTAAACTTCAATTATCTTTTTCCTATTTAAAATGTTCTTTAATTTAAAATGTTATTTGAATGAAATCTATGACAATTTTGTTTAACTCGTGAAGTGCACTCTAGCTTTTAATTTAAGTAAAAATAATCGATTTTACTATACTAAACTAAAGTGTATGCTTTTCTTTTCGCTAAAAATTACAACGTTATGTCTAACTGTAATCACATAACGAACGTGCTTACGAATATCGGAGTAGACAAAACCACCGAACAGTAATAGTTTGTGAAGTGTTCACGCGTCACCAACGGGCTGGTAGTGCGGACTTTAATAAAAATTGTTTTCTGTTAATCTTATCTGTAAAACCAGTATAATAAGTCCTGATAATAGATGAAAGTCGAATTTATAGTAGAAAAATTTACATATTAATAAGGAAAAAAAGACATTGAGGCAATTTAATTAAATTAACCTTTTATTAGTTTGGCGTAAAAAATATCATTTGATGCATTGTCTACTCTTTGGGCTACATATTATATATAAATATAGGCCTATTAGTCGAATAAGAATGCACATTAAAATGGTGTTTCGTCGTTTTTGTTAATTAGAGACCCAAATAAAACAAATATTTGTGTTTTTTAAATAAATTTTCGTTTGTCTCTTTTATAATAAATGAATTTATTTATTTCTAAGTAAAAATTGAAAGGAAATTTTAAAAATTCCTTATTCGTAATAGAGTTTTAATGCTTATAACTATAATCTAGACATGGTAATTGTTTATACTTGTATATTTAAGGATTGGGCCAAAATATACTTGTGGCTCAAAATTTCATGACTTCTTCCAATGTGGCCCAGAGAAATAGAAAGGTTGGACACCCCTGGTTTAGATGGTACACGGCAACGGATGATGATAACACATGGATGATATGCCAAAAAAATATCTCCCGGGAAGACTATTGAAAAATTTATACTGTATAAAAAATACCAGCAGAGGACCAGAAGCAGTTAAAAAACGGATAAGAATAGTATGGTGAGAAGAATTCGTTGTGTCTTTAATATAAAAGTGTGAGATCTTATAATAAAAGACTTACACTTGATCATTTTTAACATTGTGAATTTTTTACATTTATTTAAGAAGTATATTTCTTCAAAACCATGTTAACTTTTTTTTTTTTTTTTTTGATGATATGAAACCGTGCTTTACAATTTGTTTATGCTTCTAACACAATAAAGTGCTATAAATTAAGACACTTGGCGGGTTTTTTCATCTTTATTTAGTTGATACGTGTGAAAATTTTACACGTTTCGGGCTCTTAAGCCCCTCTTCAGCCAACTAAAACATTAAAAAAGAATATAACATACATATAAAAACATAAGTATTGTAGAAATCATAAAAATATAAAAGGTACCTTTCACTTATAAAACAGTTCTACAAAATCCTTGATCTAAAACATATTCTGGACATAAACTTATTATATAACTAACACAAACTATAAAACATATTCTGGACATATTCTTGATATAAACATACTCTGGACAACAATTATCAATTTAGTATACAATTGATTATGCCTTCCACTCATAAATCTGTTTTACGAAATCCTTATTTCCTTTGATAC